TTATATTTTTCATATTTTGCATGTTCTAGGTTGAGAAACTGGATACGTTCATACCTCAGGTTAAGCCCTATTTTTTTTTTAAATGTGTTTGATTTGATGAATAAGGAATACATATGTATAAGCTATAATAGGTGGAATTAAGCAAACCACATTATCTTTAATATAATAGCACCCAATTCACACATTATGCTAACACATGAATTTGTGTTTGAAAAATATTTATAAGCCACAGGCTGTTTAAAATATAGCTTCTATAATTGGATGAGTGCTTAGAAATCATATTTCAATGCTACTAGAAGAGCTTATCAGCACAAGAAGCATTTTCTAGATGAGAAATGATAAATAAACATAACTAGTTACTCTACCAAGATGTACTAGAATTTTTCAAGGGGATTGTAAAATGAAATCAAAATTCAATAACTGAGGGACGTTGTTGTAAATTTCTTATGTACAATTAAAAGAAAAAATTAAAGTGGATAAAGGATGTTATGATTTTACACAGAGTAAGACTGAATTTGAAATAGAATTATGTACAGCATAATGATGAACATGTTACTGATAAAATGAATTAATCTTTATTGAAATATAAGACAGAAGAACAAGTAAAATAATGTATCATAAAAAGAGCAAAAAACTTTAGCTATAATATATAAATGGACCATTGGTAAAATATGTGATTGAAAGGACTGAAATTTACATTATGTTCCATCTTTAAAGGGAATGTTTATAAAATGAGGTATTGTTGATGTTTATTGCCAGGGAAATTGTCTAGAACCTATAAAAGTACTTGAATCCTTGTTGGAAATGTGAACATGAAGATACATTTTTATCATGTTTAGTGGCCATGTAAAAAAAAGCAAAAATGTTTTGGATAAAAATGCACACATAAATTGAAAAATTATTAAAACTTAAAGTACAAGTGAAACTAGAGAATCTTCTTTTGGAACTAATGGATAAGCAATCAGAAAAAATAATAGAAGTTTGTTTTTATTTATGACAATTGGAGCAAAATTATCATATGCTCAAAAACAGAAAGGCTTGACACTACTTACAACAGAGGAATGGTTGGTAAAGTTGATAAAAGTTGTAAAGATAGTTAAATTATTTTTTCAGTTAGAGAAAAACAGTGTCTACCCTACACTTATGGTATATTTATGGTCAACTGGAAATCCCATACACTTGTGATTTGTGATTTTGAAGAATAGAAAAAAAAAAAAAGATAATAGAAAAAGTGAGCGGTTTTTTGTAATTTAAAATATGGAATAATTTTGTAAATTTCCTTCTTTCCTTCCTTTCTTCCTTACTCCCTCCCTCCCTTCGCATTTTTACATGTTTTATAAAATGTTAATAAAAATTTATTTTAAAGAAGTATTAGAATAGCTTAACTGGGGTGCTTCTAGACTGAACTCAAAGTGCTACTATGGAACATTGTTCTAAATGAGGGGTGTCAAACTCATGTCGTCACGGAATCATCACGTGATATATTTGCAACTCCCCCCCCCTTTGTTAAACTGGATGTGACAGGGCCAGCACGTAATGAACCCTAATTGCAGACTGCAGATTTGACAGACCTGATCTAAATGGTTCCCGCCCCCCATGTTGTCTTACCATCATTGAAATTGACATCCCAGCATTTTTAATGAGAAAATTCCCCATGCAAAGTAGAAAACAAGTATCTAATGAACTTGCTGAAGTATTAATCTGTAGAATGTTCTAAGGAAATCTTGCTTGCTTTTTATAACAGGTTTATTTCTATTGTATAAAATCTAATACTCTCCTACCTTTTCCAAATATTTTAGGCCACTTTAATTTTTCTTTATTCAGCTCTGGTTTTTGTGGGATAATTATACATACATACATACATACATACATACATACATACATAGGATGTATGTATGTATGTATTAGTGGTGGGATTCAAATATTGTTGCCACCGGTCCGGTGGGCATAGCTTGGTGGGCGCACTTTGCACACTTGCACACACTTTTCATGCATGAGCACGCCAAACACACATTTTGCACAGGTGCAGAGTATTTGCGCAGGCGCAGGGGGTTCTCACTTGCCTCCTGCAAGCCTGCATAATCCCTGTTGCTTCAGCAGCTGCCATGTGGCACTCTTCTAAGCCGCCCAAAGCAGCTGCGCTTCAAATTCAGCAGATAAAGGTGAGTATGGGAGCCCGGGTTGGAGGGTGGGCCCAATAGCAGAGTGGCGGAGAGAACCTGTTCAGTCTCTCCTGCTCGTCGCTGCTACTGGCTCGCCAAAACCGGGCCGAACCGGTCGAATACCACCACGAATATGCATGCATGCATACATACATACATACATACATACATACATACATACATACATACGTGTGTGTATATGTGTGTGTATATGTTGTTAAGCTGAATATTTGATAGTATTTATAGTATAGTATTTATTATGGTAGTATTTATGAATGAAACATGAAACAAATTAGAAGATTGTTAAAAATAGTTATGTGAATCAGGAAAATAAGTTTAGTGGCCTGCAGGTAAACAAGTTATATGTTGAGAATTCCTCTTGGTGAAAAAAAGAAACAGTAGGGCAGTTAACCTTATTTATATCCTAAGTTAGTTCATTGGCAATTAAACAGATATATACATGTCCACAACCAGGCAGCCATGACAGCTACATAATTGCTCCACGTTTTATTCAATCCATTTAGAACAAGAAGGCAATAACAGTGTCCAAATTCTATTGGAATTGTTTATTTATGTACTTATTTACTTACTTACTTGGGCTTATAAGCTTATAAACCAAATCTAATAAGAAACGACAGTGTGCAGTTTAAAAATTCTAGAGAATAAATAAATCCCTAGTAAATAAATAAATATACAGTAAATTATAACTCTTTCATTTTATGATCAGTGATGCTCAGTGAATGTACTGATACTGATTAAATGCATTATTTTAAAAATCAAATTTTTATGTTATGCCAAGGATGTCCCTGAAGTCACTTTCATATGAGAACTATAGTTAGTGGCAACTTCTCCTTCTGTTCAATATTATAAAGAAAGGAAGAGACATTACAAAGTATATTCTCGTCTGCTGATTCTCCTCATTCATATATTACCTATTCACTAATATTATAACTAAACAGACAAAAAGATTTCTTTAAGAAACCATGAGGGCTTTCACCATTCACTGAGGGCTGCAACTTTTTAATGTAGTATTTCATTTTATTTTCCTCAGCTCCTTTAATGGCATTCTATATATTTTATGAGGCACCAGTAACAATTACCCAGAAGTAAAACAAAAACAAACCACAGCATCATTTTTATGTTGATATAATACATAATATCAGTATGAGTGTACAAGGTATAAAAGCGATCCTTTCATCATTATTCAAAATTGTCACTTTCCTATAACACTGATGGTGGCTGTGAATTGCATAGTTATTTCCCCTCATTTTCACATACCTGAGAAAACTCTTGTCAGAATTGTAAAAAGGATAGGAGGATCTTGATTACTTCTTATAGTTTTTCAATGTTAATAATAACTTATTTGAGTGGTCTATACCAGTTTACTTCTTTTTTCTTAATCAGAAACTACAGGCCTCTAATGTTTCTGCATCTCCAAAACAGTCAAAAAAATTAGAGAGGATACAGAAAGTGTCCACCTCTAAATTTCATTTAAAATTGGCTTAATCCATTAGGAATTTTGGATGAAGTGAATATTGCCTAGATGCCATTTTTACTCTTTGAATATGGTCTGAATTTGTTTAACATCTTCAGTAGAAATGGGGAAAATGTTTTGGATTCTAAGCATTTTTAGCTCAAAGCAGGTTGTTCTGACCTTGTTAAATGTGTTCTGACACTGTTCTAAACATTCCAGAAATGTTCAGACTGTCTGTTGTGTTTGAAATTAGTCTTACAGATGTCAAACAAGCATACTCTGGGCACTTTTGAAGTGTTTTATGATTCGTGTATTTGCGGTAGGGACAAAAAGTTCCAAGTTTGAAAACTATTGCATGCCACTATCTTTTAAATTTATTAAAAACAATCATACAGGTATTATTTCAATAATATAATATTAATACTTGTCCTGCAGAAATGGAGGCAGAGGTTTAGTTCAAGTTACACAAATGGTCAAAAAAGAAAAACATGCATTGGCTGATTACATAAAAGACTACCAAGAACATGCATTGATACAAATTGGAACTTACTGAATGTGCAGAAAACAACACATAAATATCAAAGTAAAATAGTAAAAACAAGAACAGAATGCTGGCAAGGAAAAGCACTGCACAATCAAATGATAAAAAAGATCAAAGAGAAAGTGTATAAAGATAAAATCTGGCAATGGTTTACAACTGGAATATTAAAAAAAGTTGAAGGCTTGATTGATATGGCAGTTGAATAATACAATCCCAGCATAATTTGCAGTTTACAGTAAGCCAACATCAATTCTACAAAAAACCAGATTCTGTAACAGCTTTGTTTCCTATGGCGTCCATCTGGTAAACTCGCAAGATTAGTTTTTCTCATCATGTACATGTATACATCCGAACTAGATTGCACTGTTTCTGTGTGTCATGTAATATATGTGGGCATATACATACTTTTGTATTTATTTGTAATGTTTATGTAGTATCTATTGGAGGTAGTGACCCTTTGAGAGCTGTATGCAATGAAATTTCATTTTAATGTATGCTGATTAGTGTACATTCAAAGTGACAATAAATTTATTCTAAGTTCCAAGTTCTTTGAAAATGGATAAGAATCAAATATTCGACAAGACAGGTAATATATAGCCATCTTGGATTACACAGTAAACAATTCCTCTAACTCCATAACTGAGAATGAAGATTTTTTTTCTGCTTTATTAAAATCATTTATGTCATCATTAATGAAATTATAGCTGTATGAACATATGATGCTACTTTTATAATTAAAATGGCCATTCTTAAGGCCATATAACATATAAACAATATAATACGCCAATTTCACAAATTTTAATAATATTAGGCTCATACTTACACTATTAGGAGAAGTGGATACATATTTCGTTCTGAGAAATCCTTTGGAAATGTTAACTGTAAAGGAAGTTCTTTTAAGAAAAGAGCAAAACATTAAAGGCTGGTAGTTTGAAAGATGAATTAAAAATACTACTTGAAAACATATATTGACTTTTCCAGAATTTTCTAGTATATTTACCATAGTCATCAATGTGAAGCATTCTAGTTTCTGTTCGTAGTATTTTTCTCATTGAAATTGCTTTTTTTAAAACAGAGTTATTTTCTAAAATATAAAACACTGTAAAATAAAAAGGCAAAGAAAGGAATCAATGTACATGCATGTTTAATTGGATGGAAATTTTAAAATAGAATTTATATGACAGATGCAGTCCACATCTTTAAAGACCAACTTTTGGAAAGGCATATCTAAAGAGTAAAATAAATATGAATATACTGCATACACATACATATTAGTGGATTTTGATAAATCTCTAAAACTGTAAAATTACAGTTTGAAGGATTATGTGCCTTTAAAAAAGAAAAAGGCATCAGTTGCATATGGATAGCTATTTGATATGTTTCCTCTAAACATTTTTTTAAATTGGTAAACCACATCTCAGTTTAATGAAATAATTTATAATTTAGCTAGGAAGCAGTTTCAAAGTGTCAACTAAGCTGTTTTAAAAACAATATTTTGACTAAAATTGAATCATATAATTTTTATTTCACCAATAGAAATGATGATCAAGTTTACATATATGTATATATGTATGTATGTTTCCACAATTTTCTATACAAATAAATTTTTTCCTCTGAATTTTTTCAGGAAAGATTCAGCCTGTATGTTTCATTTCTAAAACTATGATTTCATTGTATATTATTTAATCTACTATATTTATTATGGGCAATAATATTGTGCTTTAAATCAAAATACATATATGAACATTCATTTAAATTCAAGTATTTCCCCAATTAAAGTGAATAGTTGAATTATCCAAATAATGCACATTTCCATTGAATATACTGAAGTTATATATTTTGAAGAGATATTTCAAAAACATATTTTGAAAAAGTTACTTCTATAGAAAACCTATATGTATTTGCACGTACTATATATGTGTCTTATGTATGTGTGCACATGAATGTGTTGAATTGCTTAAACAGAGAGATTTAAGCACACATAATATTTGTATCATTAAAAAAGGATGAATTAGATAACTGGCACTCAGAAACAATTCCTTAATCCAGACTAATTGTATTAGAGTTATAAAGTTTTTAAGGCATATATTAGAAGGCATATATTATATATAAGGCATATAGTTAAGGCATATATTAGAGTTATAAAGTTTTTAAGGCATATATAAAGTTTTTAAGGCATATATTGTAAGCATTAGAAGTACTGAAATAGGAACTCAATTTGCATAGTTATTTAAAGAGATTGTGCCACTGTGCCATCTAATTATTGTAAGCATTAATGGGAAATAAAAAGTACACAATAATGTAAGATCAGTCCGAAAAATCCCTGATAAATTATAGCTACTGTATTAATTACTGTCCTTATTGCTTACGTACATGTTTATTCCTAGGTTGTAATTAAGACAGGGTTTAGAAATTAATTTCCTGATGGCCTCAATTGAAAGGGAGAAAACCCACAAGAAAACCCCTAGTGAACTGGTATAACTTACTTTCAGGATTAACTGTGCTGTGCAGGCTAACAATCGGAACACCGGGACCTGTAAAACACAGAAGAACAGGCACACAGAGGAAGTAAATAAAAGAAACTAACTTTGGATTTCTCAACTTAAAAAAAAACCCTAAAGTAAAACAAATTCTAAGACACAGTTTTCAAAACTGCTACTGCATATGCTTTAATACTTTGCATATGAATGGTCCTATTAATGCCAAGGCAATACCATAGTCTGCTGGGAAATAATAAATGTGTGATTGTTATTATCTTCATCATTTCAATTTTACAGCTGAGAAATTGACACACAAAGCAATTAATAGCCCGATTATATAAAGCACAGAGTACCTGCAGCTACTATTAAATCAAAGAGAGAACAGGGAGCATTCAGACTTTGCAAAGTCATTTGGAGGCCATTAGAAAACTGAGTGGAAATCTCAGAAGAAACATATCCAAATGTCTTGTAGCTTTGATTCAATGCACAGATAAGAGTGCCCTGGTAAAGGGGGCGCCTGATTTCATAGAATAATAGACATGGAAGGAGCCTTTCGGGATGTCAAACCTATCCCCTCCCTGCTCAATGCAGGAATTCAAATCAAAACATCCTTGCTTCTACTTGAACACACTAGTCTAGTGAAATAGTCCATCCTATTCTTTCTCCTCTTATGGTATTGCAATCTGCAAAGTTCAGAATACTGGATGTCTTTAGAAATGTTTTCCCTTAGAACTGTGGATTGTGAAATGCCTGCACCCATAAGTAAATAATAAATAAATAAATAAATAAATAAATAAATAAATAAATAAACAAACAATCAATCATAAATATATGTGTATGTAGTTCATTCTCCGGCAACTTCCATAACCTCCCTAGGCATTTTACTAATGAATACAACAATGTTATTTATGTCACTGATTCAAAAATGTGATCTAGATCTGCCAACTATCCAAGCTTTTGGCTGTGTGTAATTTGAACACATTGAAGGAATGAGTGATATCCTCTTAAATAGTTAAACTAACTAGTGACCTCAACTTTAGTACATCTTTTATACAATTACTTTTAACCATCCCTCTCCCTTGGTTCTTTATTTCGTAGACCATTCTATCATAGGAATGATCAAATTTATCAGTACAAAATTTAAACTGTCCAGTAAGCCAATTTTCATATGTAATATACACAACAAATGTAGAGTCGAGATTTTGTAACTACAGTACTATAATGATATAAATATTTTTATTTGTAATAGTTATCATTGAGATACATTTTTTTCTGAAGTACAAAAACATTTCATTTTTTTTTTAAAAAAGTGTAATAACAGTAAAAAGAGAGCCTGGCTTACCCTTACACTGTAGAATGAAATATTTGATTGAAGGACTAAACTTTGCATTAAAATATGTACAATGATCTTTCATAAAATTGCATGAGAGGCATTGACGATTCAGCAATTCAGTTGTTGACACACTAAGGAAGTAAAAAAAAATATGATCAAGTACAAAAAAACCTATAGCTAATATTCACTACAAATATATTATTATAGGGAAAAATTCTTTGGATTTGTCAATATTTCAGACACTACAGGTAGTCCTCAACTTATGACCACAATTGACCCTAGAATTTATGTTACTAAGCAAGACAGTCATTAAATGAGTTTTGCCCCATTTTATGACCTCTCTTGACACAGTTAAGTGAATCACTGCAGTTGTTAGGTGAATCCAGCTTCACCATTGACTTTGGTTGTCAAAAGGCTGCAAAAGGTGAACCTATGACCTCAGGACATGTCATAAATATGCCAAGCACCTAAATGTTGATCATGGGGATACTGCAATGGTTAGAAGAATGAAAAATGGACATGTCACTTTTTTCAGTGCCATTGTAACTTTGAATGTTCACTAAACAAACAGTTGTAAGACATGGAATACCTGTACTGTACAGAGCTACATTGTTCCTTCTGTCAAACTTCCTCCCTACATATCACCATTTTTTTCTCTAGCAAAGGAATGCAGTGGGGAATGGAGGATATGGAAATACATACAGTATTTGTGAACACCAGGCTTATAATGAAAGAGAACCACACTGATTTTTATTACCTGTATTTCCTTGGTATTTTCCAATGCATATAAAATGCTAACTAGACTTAGTATTATACTGTGAAGGATGTCTTTGGGTTATTATCTTTCTGTCACAATATATATTGTTCCTATGAAATTTGCTACTTTTATAAACCCACAGATTCATGCAGAATTTCTAAGGTATGCACAGGATCTCTTTTGACATTTAAGTTAATAGCTTTTTTATAAACAAAGAGAGGCTGCCCTGTCAATTACTTAGGAATCACATTGCACCGGATCGGCTTACCTATGTAATTGTCTTCCTCTTGGTGAATTTTCAGTACTTAAAAAATAACTGGCAAAATGAGGGGAAAAAAACACCTTTAGGCCAGATGAATATGTACTAATTTGCTGTAGATAATAAACATAATGAACATCAGACCTAAGGATTTCAATAATATAGGAGAGCAGGATCATTCTTACCATTAGATAGATTGAAGTGGCTATCCACAAAACATCTTGAGACTAATTTATTTCTTTACATCCTAATTTTGCATTAGCAAAGAAGCTTTGCAACTCATTTTTGAGGCCACAGTACAGTTTTGTAATCACGAACATCATGATCATTCATGTTGACTAGAATGTGTCCTCGGGTGATTAAGAAGAAAACTCAAGAATTAGCATATCTGACTTTGTAAAAATAAAATTGAATTATTGCATATGCTATGTTCTAGGCAGATGGAACTTAATTAATGATTAAGATACATGTTTTTGTCAGAAGTCTTGCTGTTTTGTGTTCAGAAGAGATTGCCTGCCTCAATTCTCCCATATTAAAAAGGAGAAGTAGATTAACTAATGATCAGGCAGAACAATTGATCTTGTTCTGAGAAAAAGAATGCAAGGTTTCCCAGCTTGTTTGTATTAAAGACAACAGAGATATTAAAGACAACACAGACTTTAACTTATTCTCATACTGGGCACCAATAACTAAACATCTGTTATATTGGAAAATGGCTTCAACACTTCTACATATGTAAATGAAATCCTTTATAAATCTCATCACATTCAACAAGGTTTATTTCTATGCAATACAGGATTGAAGTCTTAACAAAGGCAATTATTAATAAATGATGTTTTTCAATAATTCCTGAGAAATCCTTTCTGTTAACAGTACTGGGAAGCACATCCATTTACAACCTAAGAAAAACGAACAAGAAACCATTCCTTATTATTCTCGAAGGTAAGCAGATTTTAAAAATGGAAGACCCAAAGGTGAAAATGTATTTCATTTTTAAATCCTAATGATCTGACTACTTAAGATTCTAAAGCAAGACCACTTGAAAATATTATTGCCTAACCCAGTGTTTGGATTTTCTTATTTCAATCAATACTTTAAAGCAGATTTTATTACAGCCTAGCCTTATTTTAATATTCAAGAAAAGGTCCTAGAATATATCAAGAGATTAAATACAGTTTGTCTTTGTATTTATGGTTCATGGCTAGTATTAGCATTTAGTGACAAAAGAAACATAATTAACATTGCTATACCAGTAACATTGACTCTATCTTGATAACACAGATATTTTACCTGAACAGACAAAGAAAAATAATGCTCACATCTTTTGGGTATTTTCATCATATGCCAAGATTTTTATAACTTCCCAGTTCCCTGATGTCAGATGTCGTATACTAAATTGTTCATTTTTGATCTGCAAAAAATAATAAGTTTAACCTTTTTTGTCCCACAACTTTCCTTAATTGATCAAAGCAATTATTGACAGCAGAGGTCAAATTCTACGGGCCCCTGTGGTATCAGTCAGGATATATAAAAGGCTGCAACTTGAAAGAAAGAGAACTGAATGGAACAAAACACAAATGAAACGACAAATAAAAATAGATATATTTAGGGTTTGTAAAATTAAGAGATGAAAGATGCATGAGAAATATGGAATATATTTAGTAGGGAGTAAGATAAGAAAATATGTTGTCATGGTGGTACTTACATGTACTGTATTCGGCTTTGTTCTGGTATTTTCCCACATCATTATAGTTGTGCTTTTAAAGTTGTAGCAACATTTCGGCAGAATCTCATCTGCCATCATCAGGCTTCTGTATTGTGTTCGTCTGTGAGTCAGACTTTTACAGTTGTTTCAGTTTTAAATTTGGGGCTAGCCTACTGCTGTATATTCTCACAGACGAACACTATATAGAAGCCTGATGATGGCAGATGAGATTCTGCCGAAACATCGCTACAACTTTAAAAGCACAACTATGTGGGAAAATACCCGAACAAAGATGAATACCACAGATAGATAGATAGATAGATAGATAGATAGATAGATAGATAGATAGATAGATAGATAGATAGATAGATAGATAGATAGATAGATATAGATATACCGTGTTTCTCACATAATAAGGCCGGGCCTTATTTTTTTTTGAGCCCCGAAAAAATGGCTAGGCCGTCTTTTCGAGGGGTGACTTAATTCCCCCCCTTGCATCCTCGCCAACAGCCGCTCCTAACGGGCGATCATGGCCAAGCACAGAGAGCTCCCTACTCCCACCTTTGCTGCAGACACCTTTGGCACCCGACGCTGTTGCTTTCCCTTCTGCCCATTCCGCTGCCACGTTTGGAGCTGCCGCTTCCGTGTTTGGAGTGCTGTCGCCATTTGGAGCTCCAAACGCGGAAGTGGCAGCTCCAAACATGACGGCGGGCGATCTTTTTATTTTGGTCCGCGCGAAGTTCAAAGCGAGCAAGAGAGGGAGACTGCGATGCCTCCATCCGAGATGGCAACCTCACTAGTGGATCACAACGTGGCTGGAAGCCCGAATCGGCGGGATACGATGGCGATCTTTTTGGAGCGAGAGGAAAGGGAGAGAAGAGTTGCGAGGCGTAATTTGCAGGAGGAAGTGGGTGTACCCCACGGCAGGGAGCCCAAGGAAGAAGGGCTGGTAGGCAATGGAGAGCGTCCCGTAGCTCCGGAAGCAGCCTAGAGACGCGCCCGGGAAGAGGCGCAGATGCTGCCTTGTAGTCCCCAAGCCAACTGCGTGCGCCGCCTTTAGTTATGTGCACTCCGCGCTTTGGGCATCTCCATGTGATCGCGACCCTGTCCTTTCCACCTGGCGCCCTTGCTGCTTTCTGGCTCTTTAGCAAGGCATCGCGGTCTCCCTCTCATGCTCGCTCTGAACTTCGCGCGGACCAAAATAAAAAGATCGCCCACCGTCATGTTTGGAGCAGCCACTTCCGCGTTTGGAGCTCCAAATGGCGACGGCACTCCAAACACGGAAGCGGCAGCTCCAAACGTGGCGGCGTAATGGGCAGAAGGGAAAGCAACAGCGTCGGGTGCCAAAGGTGTCTGCAGCAAAGGTGGGAGTAGGGAGCTCCCCGCGCTTCGCCATGATCGCCCGTTAGGAGCGGCTGGTGGCGAGGAATTCCGGCCCGCCGGGCGCTCCTAACGGCAAGTCTCCCCGCCCTTCCCCCTTATTTTGCATATTTTAAAATAGGCCTAAATTTGGGGGGAGGGGCTTAATTTGATTTTATGCCCAAAAAACATGATGGGCCTTCCTATTGGTGGAGGCCGTATTGTTGGAGAAACACGGTAGATATAGATATAGATATAGATATAGATATAGATATAGATATAGATATAGATATA